GGAGGAGGAAGGAACTAATCTACAGAGGGAAGTGGAATATCTGGAGTTCTGATGAGGCATATGACCCATCTGATGATGAAGATCTCAAACAACTGAATCAGCTAGAAACAAGAGATGGACAGTGGAAAACTTGAAAAAATCCAAGTGGCTTTTGTTGAAGAGGATAGAAAGATGGTAGCTGCACTAAAGGACACTGAAAAGAGACCACAGGTTGTCGGAACTGTAGACATTTTATTTGATGAAGAATATGTTAAATCTGGGATGGTTCGTCGCAACTTAGAATTTGTAGAGAGCCTATCCAGAGATGCGTATGTAGCAGAGTTGCTTATCCAAGAGCAGAGAGTAAATAGAGCAGGTGAAGCTGGAAGCAGTATTGCACAAACAGATGTGGAGAAAACTAAAGATGTTTCCCAGTTAGGATCTGATTTGAGAAATCACAATAAGAAATTTGCTTATGAGTTGGAGGGAAGAGGGAATCATATCACGCAAACACAAACCATCCTGAATCAAGAAGAAAACAGGGATAAGTCCAGTTCAAATGAAACAATGAGGGAATCAGTTGAAGGTGGAAAGAAAGTGGAATTGACAGAGTCTTCTATGCTAGAAGGGAAAAGAAGCACCCCAAAAGCAGCTCAGCAGGTTAATGACAGAAATGCACGAAGAAAAGACAGAAATCTCAATGAGTTTTCTAGATTGGAAGAGAAAGAAAGTGAAAGGATAAGAAGAGAACGAGAGCTTGAAAACGAGCGCCTCAGAAAGATAGAAGAAGAAAGGGAGAGAGAAAGAGAAAGAGAAAAGGACAGGATGGCTGTCGACAGATTGAATGCTGAAGTTCGTGATAGGGCAGAAAGGCTTGCTGTGGAAAGGGTAACAGCTGAAGCCCGGCAAAGAGCACTGGCAGAGGCTCGTGAAAGGTTAGAGAAGGCATGTGCAGAGGCTAAGGAGAAATCATTTGGTGAGAAGGCATCTGTGGAGGCTAGGCTCAGGGCAGAACGTGCTGCTGTTGAGAGGGCAACTGCAGAGGCTCGAGAACGTGCTGCTGAAAAAGCTGCATTTGAGGCAAGAGAACGGATGGAAAGATCTGTATCAGATAAATTCTCTACTTCTTCCCGAAATAGTGGAATGAGACCAAGCTCTTCATTCTCAGTGAGTATAAATATAACTTAATTTTTCTGGCTTTAGCAGCCTCAGATAGTCTTTTAATTTGTTACTTTTCCAGGATGTGCATGATCATCAATTTCAGACTACAGGCTCTTTGGGTGCTCAAAGATTTCATTCAGCTTATGGTGGTAAGCAGTTTCAGAAAGACCAACAGTGTCTTCTGCATAGGCTAGAATTAGAAAAAGTTTTCCCTTCACCCCACCAAATCCTCTTAACATTTGCTTTATGGTCACTGCTAACCTATGGACATAATTTTTTTGCTTGAAGCTTCCTATTATGGTGAGAAGTCTGAAGGAGTTGATGGTGAATCAGCTCAAAGGTGTAAAGCTAGACTAGAGAGGCATCGCCGAACAGCTGAACGTGCAGTAGGATTCTTTAGTGCCCACTAAGTTCAATGATTTATGTATATCTTGATATATAACGAGGTAACTCGACATTTCTGGGTTTTGTAGGCAAAAGCGCTTGCAGAGAAGAACATGCGTGATCTTATCGCTCAAAGAGAGCAAGCAGAGAGAAATGTAATCTTTGCACCTATAAGATAGTTTCTTCAACTCTGAAATGAAAATTTGACTTATTTATCTTGGATCTAATTTTGTTTGCAGAGATTAGCAGAAACCTTGGATGCAGATGTCAAAAGGTGGTCCAGTGGAAAAGAAGGGAACCTCCGTGCATTGCTTTCAACATTGCAATATGTACGAGTTGCTATCCTGTCTTAATATAGCCTTCATGTTTGGCTTGATGCTCAGGCTTCTAAAACTTCTATTTCTTATGTTGTACTTGGCAGCAGCTGTTCTATAAGGATCCTAAAAGTGTTATTTTCTGTTTGTTGCCCTCTTGTGAAATGTATGCACACCTGGAAGTCCTAAGATATGCTTTAGATTATGCTGCTTTGATATATATGTGTTGATTGCAGTTATGGATGCACTCTTATGCAGCAATTATTTCATGTTTGTAGTTTTTGAGTTGTCCACTAAATTTTCCTTGAATGACATAACTAGAAATAGAAAAGTTGATTACAGGACAATTGAATTGATGTCATAGACAAATGAAATACATTCTTTCTTTACCTTATGTTTGTTTGACAGATCCTTGGCCCAGATAGTGGTTGGCAGCCAATCCCGTTAACAGAAGTCATAACTGCACCTGCGGTAAAGAAAGCTTACAGGAAAGCTACCCTTTGTGTTCATCCTGACAAATTACAACAACGAGGTGCAAGTATTCAGCAGAAGTACATTTGTGAAAAGGTCTTTGATCTTCTGAAGGTTCGTTACTTACATCTTGGTTTCTGTCCAAACTAACAAAGTGTTGATAACCTTCTATCTAGAAGTAAAATACTCGGTTGACAACTAGTTTGCATCACTGAAAAATAGTGTGCACTTTCTGTTCTTTCTTTGGGTTCCTTCATGGGAAATCATATGGTTCTTGTGTTGTTAAAGATAGAAAAAAAAAATAATTGGACAGACTATTTTAGACCTTGTAGAACTCTAGTGGGTAATATTTATTCGTCTGTGATGAGGTGATAAATGTCTAAATGTTGATGGTAAAGTGTTGGTGCATTGCCATTTGGCTTCCTCTGAATGTGTACTGTTGTTTCTGACAATTTCCAGGAAGCTTGGAACAAATTCAACTCTGAAGAACGGTAGCTTGTTGTGCTTGCAGATTTGCGTATTTCTACAGTTCATGGTCAATTCTGTAAATTTACACAGCGAGGTAGTAGATTTTTCGTAGCGATTGGATATTTTAGTTTATCTATGTAGTTTTGAAATGTAATCTTAAGCTCAAAGAAACAGGTGTGAAACTAGTAAAAGAGAAAAATTCATTTCCCCTTTTTGAAAGTTGAGAAACCCAGCTTCCTTTATGTTACATATATAATATATGTATGTATTCAGAAACTGTACCCGTAATATTCAAGATAGAGAAAACTAGGAGAAAGAATGCCCGGGTGGGGAGCTATCTACGACTTCAAACAGAACAGAAAGGCTCGACTGAACATATCAAAACGTTTTATTCCATTCATCTGAGGGTTTAGAATTAAGAGAAATAAAAAAACAAAAAAGAGAAAAGTTAAAGATGACTTCTAATAACTGTGTGTTTAGGTTTTATAAAAAAGCTAAATCCAAACTCACTTCAGATCCAAATTGAGTTTCAATTTTTTTTTTTTTTTTTTTTTAAATTTTGTGGATCGTATCAGGTGGAGGGGTTATCTTGTCAGAACCCGATGTATTTTTATATTATTTAAAATATAAAAAAAAAATATATATATATATTTTAATATAAATATAATTATTTATTTATATAAATATAAAATGTTTATAATAATAAAAATTAAAATATCTATGCATGTAATGAATTGACTTCAAATAGATGTTAAACTCGAACCCGAACCTGAACCTAAACATGCACTTAAACAAAAAAAAAAGAAGAAATCATGGTTAATCCGAGTGAACCGGATCAGGTGAGTTTGGAGGTCTAGTCTAGATGTTATGGTGTGCACGCGCATGGTAAGACGACAGCGTATAAGCAGCTCCATTCCACGACTTGAAAATTTATTCATCGGGTTAATCATGGGCGAAAAATTCAAGCCCGAAAGCTAGAGTAATTACAGAGATGAAGGAAGCAGAAATGGAGGAAAGTTATAGGAAGAAACCATGTCTAAGTCCTATTACTGCACACAATCTCTAAACTTCCCTCTCAGAACCCTCGAATTATGTTACTCAAGAAGACCCTCCGATGCATTAATCAAGCATCAAAACCGCCATGTCGATGCCGACCACCTGTTCGAAGAAAATCCCCACAGAGAGATCCACTCGCTTAATTCCCAACTCGCATCTTACGTTCGAAACGGCAACGTTATTTCCGCATGGGCTCTCTTTAGACGTATGAACTCCGCGTGCTCCGCTCTCAATGCGCACTCTTTCACCCCAGTTCTTGGGGCGTGCTCGGTCTTGCCGGGTCCCGAACGCGGCAAACAAGTGCATGGACTAATGATTAAAACGGGCGCTGACACGGGAACCGTGTCCAAAACCGCTTTAATGGACATGTACTCGAAATATGGGCAATTGGGTAACTCTGTTAGAGTGTTTGAAGAGATGGAATTCAGGGATGTTGTGAGTTGGAACGCGTTGCTTTCGAGCTTTCTGCGTCAGGGTCTTACCATGGAAGCGCTTGGCGTTTTTGAAGCCATGAAGAGAGAAAATGTGGAAGTCAGTGAGTTCACTTTATGTTCTGTGCTCAAAGCTTGTGCTTCCTCCAAGGATTTTAAGAGAGGGAAACAGGTTCATGGACTGGTGGTTGTGATGGGTCGTGATTTGGTTGTTTTAGGTACTGCCCTTATTGATTTTTATTCCAGTGTTGGGCAGATTAGGGAAGCCATGAAAGCATATTCAAGCTTAAATGACAAAACAGATGAGATCATGTTGAATTCTCTGATTGCTGGGTGTGTTCGAACTCGAAACCTAAAGGAAGCATTTTCCGTTATTAGCACAATCAAACCCAGCATACGGGCGCTCACTAGTATTCTCTCTGCATGCTCTGATATTTCGGATTTGTGGATAGGGAAGCAGATCCATTGTGTTACAATTCGTTTCAGATTCACTACCGATACTCAATTATGCAATGTTGTGTTAGATATGTACGCAAAATGTGGAAAGATTAGGAATGCTCGTTCTTTATTTGATGGAATTCAACACAAGGATGTAGTTTCTTGGACAAGCATGATAGATGCGTATGGAGTTCATGGATATGGACTGGAAGCTCTTGAGTTGTTCAAGAAAATGAGTGAGCACGAAAATGGAGTCTCACCAAATTCTGTGACATTCCTTGTTGTTTTATCTGCTTGTGGGCATGCAGGGCTAGTGCAAGAAGGAAGAGAATGTTTGGAGTTGATGACTAATAAGTATGGTATTGAGGCAGAGCCAGAGCACTATGCTTGCGTCATAGATATACTTAGCAGGGCTGGGGAGATAGAAGATGTGTGGTGTTTATTCAGTGAGATGGTTAGGAAGGGTAGTAAGTCTACAGCAGCTGTATGGGCTGCGTTGCTAAATGCTTGTAGTCTTAACCTGGACGTTTCGAGAGGCGAGTTTGCTGCCAAAAATCTCCTGGAAATCGAACCCAAAAAACCTGGGAATTTCGTGCTGGTTTCCAATTTCTATGCAGCAATTGGAAAGTGGGATTCTGTAGATAAGCTAAGAGGTGTTATGAAGGAGAAAGGGTTGCTTAAGGAAGTGGGAAGTAGCAAAGTTCCACGGAGATGATTCCATCAATATATGCTATGTGACTGAATTGAAGTGTTATAATCACTTGTTAAGATGGAGTAAAAATTTGTCTTTATAGGTTATATTTTATTTTATTTTATAATATAATATGAAGATAAATTAGAGTAAAATTAATTTTGTATAAATTTAAAATTGCACTTTTTCACTAAACTTGAATCCTTAAATTACGGTAAACAATGTTTGGACCCTGACTCGATCTACATTATTATTTAATTAAAACAAATGAAAAAAGTTCACAATTTTTTTTAAAAAATAATAAAAATAATAAGCACCCGCAGCCAGGTTTGGCTGGTCAAACTGGAGGTGACATAGTCAAAACGACCAGGCCCCACGAGGTGGAGGCCATGTTTAGCACGTGACTAGAAAGTAACTACGTTTCTTCATATTAGTGGAGATTTTCTTCTGTAAATTAAAAAGTCAAAATAGCATCCCCAAACTGGTCTTTATTTCCACACTCAACTACCACGTCATCTTATAATTCTCATAACTTCCTTTATACTTAACTGACTCTTATAATTTTCGTAATTGAAAATTGCTAATTGAATTCATTTGCCTATTAATATATATTAATAATTAAAAATTTTCATTAAATTTTTTCTGTATGTTTTGTATATTTACTGACATGAAAATATTAATATATATATATATATATAAATAGCCGACGACCAAACTTAATCAAACAAGGCATGCGCCAACAAATTCCTCCAAACTTATTTTAAGTCTTTATCCTTCAACTCTCTCACTCATCATCATCTCTTACCAACTCTCCTCTCCTCTCCTTTATATATATATATATACGCTGTAAGAACCCGCAGACATACTCCAACTCCGCACCTATCTCTGCGACAAAACCAGATCAGACCCAGAATTTCAAGAAGCCAGCCATGGCCCTGCTCAGAGCTTTGAGCACCAGAAAACCCCACGGCGGCTACGAGCGGCTCGTCGACGACCCCAGCGTCGGCCTTATGGAGGGCAAGTTGCAGAGAACGACTAGCGTGCCGGCGTCCAGACTTTTCTGCCGGTCAACAAAGTTGGTGCCGGAAATTGAAATACTCTACGAAGAGAAAATTGTTAATCCCAAATTAGGAAATATCAAGCCTGCGGCTGTGGCGAAGAATAATGTTAATAGTAATAATAATGTGAAGAAGGCGAGCAAGGCTCACCCGCTGTTCAGTTTGTTTGACGTTCGCCGGAGCAAGAAGAAGACGACGGCGAAGCAGGAGTTCCAGAGGTATCTGGAGTATGTGAAGGAGGGAGGATTGTGGGATCGGAATTCAAGTATGCCTGTTATGCATTACAAATAGAGAATTTTCTGGTTATAACACTTGTTAAGGAAGTGGGAAGTAGCAAAATTCTTCAAGTATGCCAGTTTGAAGAATTTTCTAAATGGAGATGACCCAGAAATTGTGATTAGGAGATATGTAGGTTTATTTCGTGATTAATGAGGAAGAAGAAGGTCAGTTAAATTTCATTGATTGTGCTTTAATCAATTGGTTTAATTTGTGGATAACTTATTTAATTATTTATGCAAAATGTTTTTTTTTTTTTTTTTTTTTTTTTACTTTTTAATAATTTGAAAGACAAACCATTAGTAGTGTTACATATTAAAGCCGATTAAAATTTTGATTTAATATTTTTATTCGTCAAAAAATAAAACTATTGAAACAAATACACGAATATCAATATGCCATATGTATATATATATATATATATTTGTTTATGGCAAAATATACCTTGTACCATGTTATCAATAAAATTATTGATTCATTGATTGAATCAGCTCTGGGCCCAGTTAGACCGGACTTTAAAGAAGTATTCTCAAGCCCCTAGCCCATGTAAATTGGTGAATGAATAGGATCTGTCGACATCAATAGAATATTTTTTCTGGTTAACATAATATTATAAAAAATAAATTTGATTTCATTAATTATAATTAATAAATTAATAAATATAAGCATACAATTAATTAATTAATTAGTTAAATTTATTCTTTTAAATTATTTTTTAAATATTTAATGAAAAATTAGAAAGAAATAAACTGATATAAATAAAAAAATATATTAAAAATTAAATTATAATAAAAATAAATTAATGATTTATCATAATTTTTATGATCAATATAAAAGTTTTTTGTTGAATTAAAAATTAAACAAATTATTTTAAAATTTCTATATAAAATATATTGATTACCAGTACCACCACTAGTGCAGGCAATGACAGTCTCACCAACAAACCCATTAAACCATATCTGCTCGGTACCAGTGCCGTTTCGGCCACTTGGCACACACCAACCTTCGACGATGACGATCATCTCTTCGTTCTCTGCAGCAACTGGCCGGCCACCAACTCGACTATCGAATGGCAGTCATACTTTGTATATCTATATATTATATTATAATTAAAAATTATTATTATATATATTAAGTGGACCCCACCACAAAAGATGGGAAGTGATATAGATTCAACGATGGAGGCCGAAAAGACGTTAGCCCACAATTCAATGATTCGGAATCTCTTAACGGGGCCCACTCAACTGAATCTGTCTCGTCCCATACTGAAATTGTATTTGGACCAGCACCGTTAAAGTTAAGGGAATGGTGTGCTTGGATTTTAAAGTCTTTTTTTAATTTTTTATTATTATAAAATATATTTATATTTGTATTAATAAATTATATTAAATAAGTATATTTTAATTTTTGTTAATATATAATTATTATTCATAAAAACGGGGCGGATTTAAATTTGATAAAACCCATCTTAAATCCGGCCACGTTGCCGAAACTTTCTTTTGGGGAACCAAACAACGTCACCCTTCCAACTGGCCAACTGCAAAGCGCACACCCGACGGCCTGACAGATTCTCGATAGAACCGGAACACCCACGTCATCTTCACGTCACATCACGTCTTCCTCATTTATAATGCCCGTGTGTAAGGGTATTTTCGTCTTCTCATTACTTAACAGTTGTGCCTGTGTGAACTTACGATGTCATATTTTTATTTTATTATCATAGACACGAGTATACCATAACCCTTCCCAAATTATTTGTAAAATGAATGATTATTAAAATAGTATCAAGTACGATCTGCTGCACCCAATTCTTACCCGCGAAACTTCGCTTCTCTTGTCTCATGGTTCGAACAGCAAAAATCTAAAGCGAAAAGTCTGGAACAAAAGAAGGTAACGCAAAAAATAAGGACAAGGAAGAAGGAGAACGGGTGCTGTTCGTGTAGAAGAGAGTTTTGGAAGGAGACAGAGACGAAGCGTTCCAGAAAAAAGATGAATCAGAGAAGACGAGGGGCGGCTAGACGTCGACGCTTTTGATCGAAAAGCAGAGGGAAGAACTCGAGGCTGTTGCTGCGGAAAAGGAGGAACGGGACTGGAGGAGGGAAGCTTGGATATAGACTGTCGCGGAAAAACGGGGAGGGGGAAGATAAATTGGAAATAATAGAGGAGAGGCTGGGAAGAAGGGGAAAATCAGAGAGAAAAGAAGAGAGAGAACCAGAGACAGGGACCAAGGGCGAGCAGGAAGAGAGAGAGGAGTGAACGTAAGTAGAGAACATACAAGAAAACCTTTTTGTTTATGAGATAATTCTGACTCTTTTCCGAGAGGCAAATTTATTGTTGCTCCATTCGGATCAAAGCTTGATTGGTAAGATTTCCTTTAGCTCTATTGTTTTCATATAACGTGTTCTGAAAGAAATGATGACGGGTTCGTGATTATTAATGCGTGGATTACCTCTGTTAATTTTCTTATTTTCCTTTGGCTTGCACGATGTAGGGTCGTAATGAGTTATTTTAAATTTTCTTTTTTCCTTTGGCTTGCACGATATAGGTCGTAATGGACAGGGTGGTCTGTTTGCACGCCATCCGCTCGACAAAAATACTATGAAGATTTTTCTTCTTGATTCTTTTTGTTTTTTTTTCCTTTTTGCTTTCCTTGTCGGTATTGCTACCTCCTTTAATTTTGGATCTATTACTGGTGTTCTTATGTGATTGCGGGTCAAACGGTTTATGTTTTGTGTGTCCTTAAAAATGCATCCTCTACAGGCTGAATACATATGTACTGGAAAGAGTTTGCTTGTGTTTTGACCCACGGTTTAGCAAGAGGAATCGGCTCTTATGTTTGCCTTGCCTTGTCCAAACTGACCCCCGTTGGTTTGGATTGCTAGATCTATTGAAAAAGGTCATTGACCAGGAATTTGTTGGAGTTATTTCTACCACCTAAATGGCTTCTTTGTCCTTGTCAAAATGGTAGTGGAGGCTATGTTTTAAGAGGGATTTGAATGCCAAGAAGATGGGTACTTATATAGATTGATCATGACTTGTATTAAGGACTTTATATGCTCATGACTTGTAATATTGTAAATAGCATATACACTTTGGCAAATAAAATCACCTTCAATATTTTTCGTACTTGTTCAGTATTAAATACGGATCAAATCCACTTACATGTGCTGTGAAAAAATGTTGTAGGAAATGTATATGCTATATATGATTTTTACAACAAAGAGATTCTGAAGCATGAATTAGAGACAGAGCAACTAACCAAGAACTTACCTTAAAGGAGCAAACTTGAATCCACACTATTATTCTGCCCTTCTTGTTTCTATCTTATTACTTTTTTTTACTTCTGTACTTTAATATGTAATAGTTTAATGTATTTTTGTTGATTAGATTTAAACATTACCTCACACGTGCTATTAGATTAGGACATCAATATATGTTAAAATTAGGCCTAACGAATTATTCTACATAATGAGGCGGGTGTCATACAACATTTCAAATTGTCTCATTTTGGACTCAAATTTTTTTTTGAAGGATTTTAGACTCAAATTTCTTTTGATTAAAATAGTGCAAAATTTGTGATTGTTTCCACCTTAATGGATCAGCAGCAATTCCCAATCAAACAACATTTAATTTTGAGGACCCCTGCGTCCCTGGTTTCGATAGTGGATAGAGAAGAGGTAGAGAGGCAGTCATTGGCATGGGAAGCTTGGGGGAGGGGTTTCTTTTTCCCCTCGAGGTCTGGGAAAAGAAGAGTCAAGAACCCTTCATATGATGCCATTTTGGTTCTACTCCTCTTTCTCGCCAATTCATCACTGATCTCTTTGTTTTTCTCTAAGCTCATTGTTGTCTGGAATTTTCTTTCCCAATTGAACATCTCTACATTTAATGGTAGGTTTACCTATCGTAATTATCATGAGATGATCATTATTTTTTTAGCTTTTCTATTTTTTTCTTTTTCTTTTTGGCATTCTTGTTTTATTATCATTTTGTGTTGTCTTTGCCTTTTATTTCCAATTTTAGCTTGTGTTTGAACCATGTGGTTGTGAGAAAATTGAGTGAAGGTAACTGTTGAATTTTAATCTTTTTTGGTGTCCCAAATAAGTTATAGGTTGCAGTTTGTACCAATGCTTGGGCTTTATTCTATTGTTGATTGGATTTCATTTTAGTAGTTTTTTATTTGCTACTTTCTTTTGTAGTTGGTGAGCTACGGTCCGTGAGGAATTGCCATAGCCTTCAGTTCACTGTTGATTCTAAAATTTTTTTAGCTTCTTTCTAGGGGTTATTTCAAAGTTTGAAATTAGGGTTTCATTGGCTTTGATTTTGGTGTTAGCTATAGTTGTTTGGCATGTAGTTTTAGTCTTTTCAAGAGTTCGAGAAATCCCCTTGAATGGTTGACATTATGTGTAGAAAATGTAGAAAATAGCTGTTATTCTAGAAGGAAAACAACTATCATCTCCTTTGTCTTTTCTTGTGTACCGTAGAAAGGAGAATAACAGAATTGGTGGTGTGTCACCTACACCAATTCTGAATATTCCCTTACCCCACAAAATTTGGTTCTGGTGGAGAAAAGTTGTTATTCATTTGTGTATAAATATGCTCATTTGGAGCTGGAAAATGCAAGCAGAAAATAAAGGAAAAACTTCCCTCAAAATAGCTTCATAATTCCTTTAGGGTATCAGAGCTTCTTTGGTTCGGATTCCACATTCGACTACCCCTGTTCCAGGATAATACAACAAGTGTTATGGCTTCTGGAGGTACTTCGTCCTCATCTTCACTTGAGGTATCTTCAGGACCTCTCCTTTCTTTAGCAGTCATGCACGGCCTCGGAAAACAAACGTCTTCACAAATTACGGGCCACAAGCTGATTGAAAACAACTATCTACAGTGGTCCTCTTCTGTGCTGTTTTTCATCCGGGGCAAGGGTAAATAAGAATATATCACCGAAGAAACAACACCACCATTCGCCACCGATCCAAACATGAAGACATGGAAAATGGAGAACAACCTCGTCATGTCTTGGCTCGTCGCCTCAATAACGTCAGAAATAGGAGAAAATTTCCTCCTATACGAAGCTGCTCACGATATTTGGATTTCTGCCAAGGAATTTTATTCCTCCAAACACAATACCGCAGCTGTGTTTGAAGTGGAAACAGCCCTCCACGACCTCCACCAAGGCGACTCCATCATGATACAATATTATAATATTCTTACGCGAAGCTGGCAGTGACTTGACGCGTTTGAAGAAGTGAAATGGGTCTCCCCTAAAGATGCCAGAACCTACCAGAACTTGGTTGAACGAAAGAGGATGTTTAAATTTATACTGGGTCTAAATCCCTACCTTGACGATGTAAGAGGATGCATTCTAGGTCAGAAGCCTCTGCCCAGCATTTGCGAAGCCTTCTCAGAAGTCAAAAGAGAGGAGAACCGGAAGAAAATTATGATGGGTGAGGGCCGCTTTGTAGCAGGGTCATCTGAGAATACGTCGGCTCTAATGACGCATTCTGAGAGTTGCAGAAAAAAGGGCAGACCATTTTGTGATTACTGCAAAAGCTTGACCATGTATGCAGCCGTTGTTGGCGACTTCATGGCAAGCCAGCCGACCGTCGTCCTTTGAAATCTGAAAGCTCCACAGAATCGCGAAGTAACGCGGCTGCAGTCGCAGCAACAAATGAAGAAGGGTCTAAGTCTGCCTCAGGTTCTGGAAAGGACTATTTTACCCCAGGGCAACTTGATATTCTCGAAAAGACCATTTAAAAATTGTTGTCCCAAGATTCAGCTAATATAATAGTCACTCAAAAAGGTAATAATCCTCAGGTACTCTGATTATAGCATATTCTACAGTTGATCAAGCATGGATAGTTGATTTCGGTGCAACCGATCACATGACTGGTAATGTTTCTCTGTTTAAAGATTATCCTCCTTGTAGTGAGTATTTCACCATTAGGGTTGCGGATGGAACTGTATCTAGAGTGGTTGGTATTGGCTCAGTTGTCGTGTCACTCTAAATTGTTCTGAAATCAATTTTCAAATTTAGCATATAATTTACTATCAGTTTGGAAACTGACTACTGATCTCAACTGTGCTGCTAAATTTGGTTTAACTTTGTGTAATTTCAGGATTTGGACTCGGGAAAGATGATTGGCAGTGCTAGAGTACATACCAGACTCTACCTCCTCCGTGCTGAACCTTCTAGTAGACAAGCTCCAAATGTAGTATGTACTGGTTCTATTTCTGTTAGTAGTACTTGTGATCATGAAATCATGTTATGGCATTCCTGCTTGGGACATCCAAACTTTCTGTATTTAAAGAAAACGTTTATGTCATTGTTCACTAATAAAGATCCTTTGTTATATCGATGTGAAACCTGTCAACTTTCTAAGCATGTTCGGAATACTTTTCCTAGTCTGAAGTATACATCATCTAAATCATTTTTCTTAATTCACAGTGATGTTTGGGGACCTTTCCGACTCACTGACATATCCGGAAATAAGTGGTTTGTATCATTCATTGATGATCACACAAGGATTATTTGAGTATTCCTATAAAAGAGAAGTTAGAAGTAGGAGCTATATTTCAAAAATTTCACAAAATGATCAAAATTCAATTTGGCACAACAATACAAGTGTTAAGATTTGATAATACTTGTGAGTACTTAACATCAACCCTTAATAGTTATTTTGCTGAAAATGGTATAATTTCATCAGAGGTCATGCGTCTATTCTCCTCAGTAGATGGTGTTGCTGAGAGAAAAAATAGACACATTCTGAAGTCACTAGGTCCATTATGTTTGCTATGAATGTACTCAAAACATTTTTAGGGGGAAGCCTTGCTCACGGCCACTTACTTGATAAACAGAATGCCTTCCTGAGTCCTCAAGTACCAAACCCAATTAATCTTCTCTCAGAATTCTTTCCACATTCCCGTATCCTATATTCCCTACCACTAAAGGTCTTTGGCTGCTCCGCATATGTTCATGTCTACTCACACCTTCGGGTTAAACTTGATCCTAGAGCTCTTAAGTGCATTTTTGTGGGTTATTCCCCTCATAAAAAAGGATACAAATGCTTCTTTCCGGATACTCATCGGTTCTATCACATCATGGATGTCACCTTTTTTCAAGATAAACCATTTTTTCCCAAAAGCAACATTCAGGAGGAGAAATATACTCAAGAATGTCACATTTGGGAAGCTACCATTTCTTCATTACTTGTCGACACACACCAGATATCACCCACACAAAATGAGCTCAAACCAGAAAGTACATTACCTACAACAAAGGAGTTACGTGTCTACACCAGGAGGAACAAGACCTAGAAAGGTAGTGTTCCAGCAGGGACTGAGCTTTGCCATGACTCGACTCCGCCTCCGACCATCCTAGACCCGACTGGTAAGACTATTACTACTGGTGATGATTTACCTCTTGCCTTGAGAAAAGGAACCAAATTCTGTACTAATCACCCCATACAAGATTATTTGTCGCTTGGTAATCTGTTTACAAAATATTATACTTTTGTAAGCAAACTAGATGAGAGCTCACCTGAGCCTAAGATAGTTCATGAGGCACTCAGAATTCCAGAATGGCTAGCAACTATCCGGGAAGAAATGAGAGCTCTTGAAAAGAATGGGACATGAGAATTGATAGAGTTGCCTCCTGACAAGCGCAGATAGGATGTAAATGGGTTTTCACAACTAAATATAATCATGATGGTAGTATAGACAGACACAAAGCCTGTCTGGTGGCAAAGGGGTTCACACAATCGTATGGAATAGACTATCAAGAGACTTTCACTCCTGTAGCCAAGCACAACACGATACGAATCTTGTTTTCTCTTGCAGTAAATCTAGATTGGCCTTTGTTCCAATTAGATGTGAAGAATGCTTTCCTTAACGGAAACTTGGAGGAGGAAGTGTACATAGACATCCATCCGGGTTTTGAGATAAACGACAACTCTCATAAGGTGTACATACTTAGAAAGGCACGCTATGGACTTAAGCAGTCTTCAAGGGCATGGTTTGAAAGATTCACAAGAGCTGTCAAGCAAGTGGAATATGAGCAGTGTCAGTCATATTACACTTTATTTGTCAAAAACTGTGACTCGGGTAAGAAGTCAATCTTAATAGTTTATGTTAATGATATTATAATTACAGGGGACAATGGTGAAGAAATACAGAAATTAAAAGAGTTCCTGGCCAAAGAATTTGAGATAAAAGACCTAAGAATACTCAGATATTTTCTAGGCATGGAGATTGCACAATCAAAGAAGGGAATTTTTGTTGCCCAACGGAAATATGTACTTGATTTCCTAAAGGAAACCGGAACGCTTGACTGCAAGCCTGCGAACACACCCATGGATTCTACTGTGAAACTTGGCAAGAGTGAGGGTGACAAGTTGACTGATAAGGAGAGGTGTCAGAGGTTAGTTGGGAAGCTCATGTATTTGGTACATACGAGACTAGATATAAGTTTTGCAGTCAGTACAGTGAGCCAGTTTATGAGTCAACCAACTGACACACACATGGGAGCTGTGTACAGAATTCTTAGGTATCTAAAGAAAACACCAGGACATGGTCTATTTTTCCAAAAGAATACAGACATGGAGATAGGAGTTTATACAAATGCTAATTGGGCTGGTTCAGTCAATGATAGGAGGTCAACCTCAGGGTACTGCACCTACGTCTGGGGTAACCTTGTTACATGGCGAAGTAAGAAGCAATCAGTGGTATCACGAAGTAGTGCAGAATTGGAATTCAGAGCTCTTGCTCATAGTATATGTGAAGGTTTCTAGTTAAAGAGAGTATTGTAAGAATTAAATCTGACTCCACAAGTGCCCATAAAAGTGTGATGTGATAATCAGTCAACTATCCGAATGGCAAAGAATCTAGTCTATCATGATAGGACAAAGCATGTGGAGATAGACCGTCATTTTATCAGAGAGAAGATCGAAAACAGTGTTATAAACATTATTCATATTCCCACATATCGACAAGTTGCTGATATACTAACCAAAGCTCTTCCTAAACATGTATTTGAAAATATTGTATTCAATTTAGGTTGACACAACATTTATGTAAAACTTAGATTGAGGGGGAGTGTAGAAAATGTGGAAAATAGCTGTTATTCTAGAAGGAAAACAACTGTCATTTCCTTTGTCCTTTCTTGTGTACCGTAGAAAGGAGAATAACAGAATTGGTTACACCAATTCTGAATATTCTCTTGCTCCACAAAATCTGGCTTTAGTGCAGAAAAGTTGTTATTCATTTGTGTGTAAATATGCTCCTTTGAAGCTGGAAAATGCATGTAGAAAATAGAGGAAAAACTTCCCTCAAAATAGCTTCATAATTCCTTTATAATGCTTACAGGACTTTCCAGTTATTTTGAGGGACCATGTTGGGATGAGGGTTTATAAATTTAAAGTTTTCCTTTTAACTATTAGATCGGTGAGCCTGTGTAGCATCTATCGTGCATTAAGTTGAATTTTTTCTTAGGCGAGTTTGTATTTATTTTTATCCAAAAAAAAAGTTTTCTCCAAAATTTGGCTTGAATAATTTTATGACTTTTAAGCTACACCATGCACAACGTTGCTTCCTGGTACAATGAGGAAAATGATTAGGAATTAACTTTTGAATATTGAATTTCATTTTCTCTCTTTTCCTCATCCAAGTTCCAAGTGAATAATGACCTCATGTCAGAGGGAGAATCAAGAATGTGTTGGTTAAATTTTACCATGAGGTTTTTAAATGGTTCTTGTTTTCCTTTCCCCATTTTTGGACCCAAATATAATTGTTTTATCTCACTTTGTGATGATGCAGAACCATGCCCACATTTACAGCTATAGCTTTGGACAGGTTGTTGGAACCTGGGACTTCCAAATCAGCCAGCAAGTCTACTCCTAATTTGAGACCTCCACTCTCCAAACCCCCTAATTCAAAGCTGGAGGAGGTAAGTAGTAAATCTACTACAGAGAGGAAAGTACCTCGCCCTCAAATATCACCTGCCCTTTATGCCACTCCCAAGACGACTCCGCTCCCTGATTCACCATCTTCATTCCCTCCATCTCCCTACATTATTAATCACAAGCGGCGCGGGCCACGCCTTCTAAAGAGCTTTTCTGAGGATGATGTATCTTCTTGGAAAAAAACTCAGAATGAAGAAAAAGCTAATGGGAGAACCGCAGATACTGAAGCCAGGACTCCCAATTTAACTAAGTCAAATTCTGTTGTTTTCCCTATTCCCGGGCCTATCATGGAAGAGCATGTTAATGAGAATGATGGACCTGTTCAACAGATTGATGCTAATTGTACCAATGTTTACCCTGTTGAAGAGGGAAATTTGGATGGAGCTGATCATTTAGAGCTTGCAAAAAGTCAAGTGGAGGTGGAATGCAGCAGTAGGGGACCTGAAGCCAGCAATGCAAGTTATGGTTTTACAAAGGAAAATGGCATAAGAAAGCTTGTTCCAGTGGATTCTTGTAGAGAAGTTGAATCTGAAGATTTCTATGACCCCCAAGAATCAATAAGTGTCACAAGTAATACAGAGGAAGAGGATTATGCTGGTAATGAAAGTTCTACGAAGCTTGCTACACCAGTTGGAGAGTTTTATGATGCTTGGGAAGGTACTTGAGCTTTATATTTCAGCTGTTCTAATTGTTTATAATATTTAGATGATATATGGATGATTGTATTGCTGGGGTTGGAGACTAGTTCCTTCTTTAATTTTCCTTTGTGATCTTATTTCCCCTTCCTATATTTTTAATTGTGCATATGGTAGCAAATTGGAAATGTATGAAAGCATCCCACCTTCTTATTGTGTGAATTATTTGTGTTTCTTGAAGGATATGTGTTGTGTCTAGTGACAAAAGGATAGTTTCTTTGCTGTTATATTTGTGCGAAAATCCTGAATTTTAGATAAAAGGATTTTAAATATGTAGCAGTTGTTTTACTTCCCTAGAAGCTGCTAAAATATCAATAGATGTTGTGGATAATATTAAAATTGTATTCTAGATTTTGTTGTCACAGTCGAAGCTCATTTTTGTTTTTGCCTGCAGAGTTGTCCTCCGGAAGTGGACAGCAGGCTTCATTTCGTGACATTGAAGGGGAACTGTGTGAAATAAGATTGAGTTTATTAATTGAGATAGAGAAGAGGAAGCAAGCAGAGGAAGCTTTGATCCACCTGCGAAGTCATTGGGAGAGTATGAGGCAGCAGTTAGCTAGCCGTGGATTGATAATTCCTGCAGATCCCACTGTTGCAGCTGAGGGCGGGCAGGTGGATATTGATGCTGCGGAAGAGTTGTCACTGCAGCTTCATGTTGCTCGATTTGTGTCAGATTCTATTGGCAGGGGCATCGCAAAGGCTGAGCTGGGGATGGAGATGGAATCTCAGATTGAATCAAAGAACTTCGAAATTGCACGATTGTTAGACCGACTTCACTATTATGAGGCTGTAAATCGAGAAATGTCGCACAGGAACCAGGAAGCCGTAGGTGAGATTTCTTCACCTGGAGTCACATTTTTTTAATTTCTTATCTACTTCTACGATCATCTTTGAATTCTCCTCCAATCTTAACCTCGTAGAACTTGCTTTATATTTCTTGGTGGGACGCCTGTCCTATATTGCAGTCTCTCTTGGGCTTGTTGTCTTTAAACATTTATCTGAAGATTATGCCAAGTACCTATTTATTGTGCCATGTATTTATAGAATATTGTTATATTTGCGCAGAAGGGGAAAGTGCTGTTATAAGATGAAATTCACTCATGTGTTGCTGCTTGTAAATGATACATTTCTTCTTGATTAGCAGAAGCATGATAGGTTCATAGTCCAGTTGTAACTTCTGGGTTTTTGTGGTTGATGCTACAGAGATGTCTAGGCGGGAGAGGCAAAGAAGGAAAAGAAGACAGAGGTGGGTTTGGGGTTCAATTGCTGCCATAATTACTCTTGGGACTGCAGCCTTGGCATGGACTTATCTCCCTGCTGCAAAAGGATCTTCCTCCCCTGCTGACTCTCAATTTGCCGAGCATGACAATGCAGATAAATGATGACTGCTGATCAATTGGGATTGTGATGGCAGGATCATGAAGTAGGGAAAGACACAAAAATAAAAGGCTTGGATGTATCAACCATGTGAATAGAAATCTCTTTGCTCGTATCTGTTCAAAGGACATATCATGCTACCAAAGATAATTTAGGCATCTCTAGTTGTGGCTTGCACCTTTTCTGGCAATTTTGGAGGTGCTGAATGCTGAATAAATCCTGAATTTTCAATGTTGTAGCTTTCGGGAGCACTTCATGCGTGTCCTTTTTATGCACACCGAGTTGTTTTTTCATTTCGTCGGAAACCAGGAATTTAACTATTAGTTTACTTGGTGCGAGTTCCCCCAGCCTGGGATCACAATTTGATTAGTGTTCTGTTTATCCGGGTTTATATTTGGTCGTAACTGTAGTCATTTTATTGATGACTTCAATTATTTTAACGTAATTTCATTAATAAATTAAATCTTTATACTTATTGAATTAAGTTCACTGTCAGTCATTTACAAAAATAATAAATTCTACATTTTTATCACTATCTTTTAATAGGACAAGAATCTTAAACGAGCATTGTTATTTGTTAGTTTTGTGTGGTTAAACAATGATTTGTCTGGTTCAGATAAAACATATGTTGGAGTCGTCGACATGATACGACGCCGTTTGCCCGGGGCGGGGTTTAAGCATTATCCAGTATCATCTACAGAGGAAGGAAAAATTCTGAATTAGCACCCCGAAACAAGCTCCGACAATGGAGCTAACGCTACACTTCTCAGCAGCTATTCCCAGAGAAAAACTTTTTACTGTCACTACGGATAAGAAGCTCATTCTTTTCCCTCTCCACATCAGAAACCCCAACAGAGACTCCCGCTTTCGGCTCCATGTCCAAAGTGGCAGCGCGACACCTGTACACCTTTCGTTCTCAGAGAAACAGCGACACCTGTGGGTCAGCCGACGACAGTCTGAACACAACGAATACGAAGAAGAAGAAGAAGAGAAAGCCAGCACTAGCGATGACGAGTCGAGTTTCCTCTCTCTAAGCGGAAAGCCGGAGAGAAACATGGCTTTGCTCGACGATTACGAAATGGAGGAGATTGGGTTACGACTCTGATCCTAACCATCGCAGTGGTTAGTTTCTTAAAACTTCATTAACAATGGAGATTATATTAGCAAGTATTTGAAATCTTAGGGGTGATCTGTGGGGTAATTTTGTTGAGGGGCAGGATTCGTGGCTGTGCTTGGCAAGCCAAATGTTGGAAAGAGTACGCTTGCAAATCAAATGATAGGTCAAAAATTGTCTATAGTTACGGATAAACCTCAAACCACGAGGCATCGAATTCTTGGTATATGTTCCGGCCCAGATTATCAGGTTTGATTGTTTTCGACTCTCTTTTAGAAGTTCGTATTAATAACGATTGCTCCTTTACAGATCAGAGTGTGGTAAATTCCTAACGCTTTTAAGGAATAGGGAGTATGGATTTAGATACCAATTGAACGGAAATTAGGCGCTGAAGCAGTGGACTGAGTAACCTTATTATGGACTATGGGGTCCAACAAGGTCTTCCCTTCTTCTCATTGTTGGCCATAGGAAGCAAACATATTCTAGAGAGTGTGAGATATTTGATAAAAGCTTGTTATTAGAAAAGTTTAAGTTGATAGGAAATATTGCAATAAATTATTTATAGTTTACCATGCTACCTAATGGAAGCAAGTCCACTAGGTATTAAACACAAAGTTGCTGTGGCAATGTTGAAATTTTGTCAACAGAAAGTAAGGTGGTCAGGGCAGAAGGAAATATTGTGTGTAAGCCCACTAGGTCGATAGTGTGGATTAAGAATTGTACGAAACTAAATTAAGAGAAATGGAGCAGCCATTATTCAAACAGTAGAACTTTAACTCCATTACTATGTTAACTAAAAGAGGTGGACCAATACTTCCAAAAGCTCTAAGGGTTAGAAAGAATTCAGTATTCAAATGGTAGAACTCTAATTCTATGACTATGTTAAATAATAGAGGTGGACCAATACTTCCAAAAGCTTTAGGTGTTGGAAAGAATCCAGTCTATTATTTATATTTTGAGGAAGAGGAAACTAACTAGGTTGAATGTAAATAGGGGTATTCTCTCTATCAGTGTACTGGAGCTGGCATCCTATATCCACAGTTATGACTTATAAGGCATCACCACAGGTTTTTAACAAAATAAAATCACAAACTTAGATCAATTCAGTAATATCTTTAACCTGACTTAATAAATGACAAAATCATCAATTAAACATAGTTTATAGATTCATACTTGTTTATTATCTCATGGGCAGTCAATGTCTCCTCTCACATGTCCCAAGTGGACATGCATAGAAGAATTCATTGGGATTATGAAAATCCGTTCACCTTATAGGGCCTTAGATAATCTGTATCCATCAGTATGACCCAAGCCTTTTCTTGCAGATGATACTTTACGATACACCAGGTGTCATTGAGAAGAAAATGCACAAGTTGGACTCCATGATGATGAAGAATGTGCGCAGTGCAGCTGTTAATGCAGACTGTGTAATAGTACTTGTTGATGCATGTAAAGTGCCTGAGAAAGTATGGTACTTTTGTTTCTTGTTTTGTTTCTGAAGATTGCTTTCTGTTTGCTAAACTGAATGTTTCTTTTTCATAGATTGATGAAGTGTTGGAAGAAGGTGTTGGAAACCTCAAAGATAAGCTGCCAACGTTGCTGGTGATGAACAAGAAAGATTTGATTAAACCGGGTGAAATTGCAAAAAAACTGGAGGTGAAAGTCTTTTAATATCTGCACTTCATCCTGTTGTATTATGTTTAAGAATGAAAACCCATTTTGTATGTGTCGTGATATCTACCGCTTTGATAGTCTAGAGTCTAGTAAATGAATGTTAATTATTTACACTTGTTCATCAATAGGTTTATTGCGGTGAAAATAGTTGTTATAACAAATTTTAAGTTTAATTAACTTCCTTCTTTACTCCTGGTTCACATGAACTGGGAAGTTACTTTCCTTCAACGGTCCGTTACTTCTGTAAACAAATCATCAAAAATATTTGATTTTGAAAAAATACCAATACAGCCTTGATTGGTTTAATTTGTTAAATCACTAAAGTTTTCATCTAACAGGCTAGTGACTCTATTAGGAAATTACTTGGTCATTTATTTTGCACTTTGCTACTTATTTGATCTGTGTAGTCTAGATGCGTCTTAATGCAGATCCTTGTGTTTGATTGCCTGTAGTTAGCATGTAACATAATATTAAGATAGAGCCACTGATTTGGATGGTTAATACCTATTGAATAAGGCTGGATGTATGTGTAGAAATGAGGTTTGAACCCATTAAATTATCTGGTTCTTCCCCCTGTTGTGGGTGTTTCTGGTCCTGGATTAGTCATAGAGTTGGAAGCATGGTAGCTTAGGTTCCTTTATTTATTTTGCACTTTATTTTTATTTTATTTTTTTAAAAAATAATATTTTGCACTTTATTTTTGTTGCAGTGGTATGAGAAATTTACAGATGTTGATGAGGTCATACCTGTAAGTGCCAAATATGGTTATGGAGTAGATGATATCAAGGATTGGATACTATCAAAACTTCCCCTTGGGCCAGCTTATTATCCAAAGGTATGGAGCAAGCTGAATCACATATTTTCTCGTCTTCCAGAATGATTGGACAGCAGTAACTTGATAATTGAAAATTCTTACTTCACCTGGAGTGTTAACTAGTCTATCAGAAACTCTTCTAGTAGGGGTTTCATCTATCACGTGAATATGAAGATATATTGGCCATGAAATTTTCAGGATATTGTTAGCGAGCATCCAGAAAGATTCTTTATCGCTGAAATTGTCAGAGAGAAGATATTTTTGCAATACCGCAATGAAGTACCTTATGCGTGTCAGGTAATACAAAAATTCACACTGTAGTATCCTGATACAGTTATTTTCTCACTCCTATCCCCCTATTCCTCTGTATTGAATTAAGAAGGGAGGGTTTTTGTTCCTTGAACACTTCTAGAGGTAATGCATGGTACAGAAATTTAGTATCTTGCTCTTTGAATTTTTCAGGTCAATGTGGTCAGCTATAAAAGTAGGCCAACTGCAAAAGATTTTATACAGGTGGAGATCATAGTCGAGAAAAACACACAGAAAATCATCCTCATTGGAAAAGTAAGTATGGATCTTTCACTCAGAATTTTTTTCAAAGCATGACTGCTTATGGGGGCTTGAGCTGGAGGCATATTGTAATAATGGTGCAATAAGCGAGTACTCAATTTTAGAAGGAGAAAGCTGACTAAAAGGAAAGAAAAAGGTGGAGAGAGGTACTGCCCTTTAGCGAAGAAGTTAATTATCATTGGCAAAAAATGGGGTCAAGCTAGGTCAGACCTAAATTGCAGTGTTTTTGAATGTATGCAAGAGCCGCAAGACTAGTAAGCATAGAGCAAGGGCACAGAGAGCAAAATGAGGCATTCAGTTGCCTAGTTTGTGCACGGTGGTTGTTTGCAAGTGACAGGAATTTGTTATTGGTTTTGATGGGTTGAGTGGCAAGTTCTATTACTGTTTCATAGCAGTACTGTTTGCTTTTCATTTTGTTTTGCTTTTCCCATCATTGTAGGAAGGGAAGGCTTTGAAACTGCTTGCAACTGCTGCTCGGCTTGACGTAGAAGATTTTCTACAGAAGAAAGTCTATCTTGAGGTGCCAACTTCAACTCTTAACTTCTCTACCATAAATCAGTTATATAATTTGAAGGACAAAACAAGCAGATAAGTTTAGGTTGTTGTGTTTATATATTCACTTGGATACTTAAACAGTAATGCATTTGTAGGAAAAAATTAGTTGTTTAATATAGCATGAGGCTTTTATACCGTGCTTAGTTCAGTTCACGTTCAATTCATAGTTTAAAATTTGATTTTAGTTTTCAGGCAAACTATTATTTTAACTCTGATTTATTTGCTGTGTTACCATTAGGTTGTAATTTTTTTTTTTTTAATCATAGTTTGGTTCTTAAATTTATAAAATTATTTCAATTCATACTCTTTTTATATAACTATGAAAATTTTGACAAAAAACAGCAAAATTTTTTTCCTTTTTTCTGTGTTATGCTTTTAATTAAGTTTGGAAGTTATTATAACTAAAGTTACCTTAATATGAACAATTAATTTGTTTTATTTAACCAATATAGATTATAATAGAGGAAATAACTATTCATTGACTTTTTTTTCTCAATTTCCTATCCTAAATAAAAATGTTATATATTCTAAATCATATTTTATGTTACTCAATTACAGGGAAAAAATTCACTTATATGGAAACTAAATCGACAATTTGTTTTTAGTTTTATTATGTATAATTAGAACAAAATTTATTGGACTCAATTCCTAGTAGGTAATTTTATCTCAATTTTCATTCAATTTCAAGATGGGGATGGTGGTTACCCAAACACCACAAAATTATCTCCTAAATTTACATATTATGGCTTATATGGAAAACTAGAACTAGGAACTGACCATAAATTTAATGGGAAATTGATCTAAAGGCAACCTTGCAATATATTAGGTTCAACTTCTATTTAATTTCTTTACTTTACATACTGAATGAACTTCCCTAATATCTTGAATTATTTGGAGGTGAGCATTTGATTTTTACCTAACCAAATTAAAACTGGAAATCCATCAATTTAACTTATGAGAAATTAATTCAAAACATAAGAACTATTGCCTTGTTTTTACATATCAAGATATACAGTGGTCAAGTAAGGGAAAAGGATAAGAATGGAATAGTACTTGAACAAATGGACTGCTAGTGTATTACCATCTAAAATTCAGGCTGCTGCATATCATTGAATAATTCATTCAGTCCATTGTATAATTCATTCTAGCTTTTTCTGTTTGTTACTGGTGTGAAAACAAATGACCAAAAGGAACTCCATCTGAACAGATTGAAGTGAAAGTAAAAGAAAATTGGCGGCAGGATGAAGGGCTGTTGAAGTACTATGGCTACGGGGGGCAAATTCGAGCATTGTAGTTTGGCCATTAAATCAATTCTTTGTATTCAGCGAAATGTAAGTTAAAATTATCTGAATCAATTTTTTTTAATTGTTCTGTTTCGTCAATTGCGTAGTCTTTTCTGCATGATTCCTCTTGCCAGCTGAAGACAGGAATTGGTACAGTGCCGCTAGCCAATGATCTGAAAACTTACAGGTAATTTTGTTAGTACCTGCCGTTTATCCTTCCAGTACATCAGCATTCTACCGTTTTGTGTGTCTTCTGGAACTCAGTGCAGTTATTAGTAATTTAGCAGCTTTGTGTAATAATCATTCAACTTTGTGTAGTAACTGAATTACTACATAATGCTAGGTGATTACTAACAAAGTTACCAAATTACTACTGAACCTTAGATATGACAGTAGAACATGTGGTCATTACATTAGTCCCATAGGCTGACCGATATACATATAACATATAGATGTAGATGCCCATGTATATATGTAACTGCAAATGCACGTGATACCATTAGGTGGGTTGGGCTAAAGTAATTTAGAGTTGGACTGTGACTTCTTCTAAAGGTCTTGGCATATTAAGCTGTTCACACCCATTTCCGGTGGTTGGATCCTTAGTGGACGGGCTTAATAGTTATTCCTAAAAGAACCGGAGCCCAATTGGGTATATGCTCTTTAAAGGTTGGTAGTGTGGTGAAATGGGCATACAGTCGTTGTCTGTGTTGGGGGTTGGGGGTGGGGGGGGGGGGAGCCTATGTAATGCAAGTGTGCACATGGAATGGGAGATAGCTGTGAAAAGAGTTCTGAACCTGTCTGTCGGTCTCTACTTAAGCCCCAGACATGAGATGCGACACGCCATGCTAAATGTTTAGATCCGGAGATAGCACCACCCAAACCTGTCGGTGGCAGCGCGTTGAGCGTTCAGTTTGATTGATACTAGAAAACAAAATCCTTGGTTTTGAAAGCCCAGTTACTTGTGATTGCCCTCTCTTTTTATTGGTTTGGTTTTGATTATATTTTAATTTCTTTTATCTGTTTTGTGATTATTTAGTATTAGGTGTTTTATTTTTTTGATATTTTTTTTAAAAAAAATTGTTAATTTTTTAATAGAATATCTGTATATGAAATTCCAGACATGGGTACAGAATTTAAAAGATAAATAAATAAATAGAAATTATGAGAAAAAAACAGAAGTTAAAAAATATACAACATAATAACCTAAGAAACTAATAAGTTTTGCGAAATGATAAAAAACGAAACATATTAGTTCTTACCTCTCACGGAAAAAAGGACAGAATTGAGCTGCAATAACATCAAACTATAAAGACTAAAATTGTAAATTCTCTTCAAACTGATATAAAAATTTTGAAGTGATGATTTGTTTTACCATAGCATTTGTCAATGAAAGAAAAATTAGACGATCTATAGCATAATGAGTCATAGGATGAGGATGATGATCCTAGGAAGGAAAACTAGTCATGATGGTAGGAAAATATTTTTCTATTAGAAAATTATAGGGTGCTCCTGGAACGTTAATGATTTGGGAGATTATTTGCATTTTATTGATTCATTTTGATTTTGTGCAAGAGAGAGGCTAATATGTTCTAACAAAAATGTCTGTGTAATTCTGTCAGATGAGGGTGTTGTCATCCATAAGATCTCTCCATGATCTTAATAGTGTGAAGATTACCTTCGCTCTTAACATCAACCTGATGCATGCATGATAGTAACCCAATGCCCATGATCATCACATGATGATCAAGAGTATCTCTTTATTTTCTGATTTTCACATCATCATGATGGCAACCAGAACCCATGATTGTCCTGCGAAGCCTGATTGATACATACGTTGGGAACATATGGTGGTTTTCAAAATCTGGAATCATGATAATCTTCCATGTAAGATTTGTACGTCTGATTCCTGTCGCTACTTACATAGCAGAGGACCCAAAGAGGAAGTACCATTCCTAAATTTGGCCACAAGTCTTGTATAATTGCAAATACCCTCCTACCCCGCTTTAAAAATAATATATATTTATAAATGTGGCCACCAAGTCAGCAAAACTTGAATCTAATTGCATATGATTAGTAGGCTTGATTGACGGAAGAAATTGCATTTGAAGTGGAGTTGGTCATCAACTCCTACTTTTACTTGGAGTCGTAAATTTGGCCATGAGCTTTCGGCTAAAGGGTCATTCTTTAAGTCTTGTCAGGTTTTCTTACACGGTTTCAATTCTTCTTGTATAAACGGATGTGTGTACCTCTTATACATGCATATATATATATATACACACACACGCACGCGCGTACGACACATATAAAAGAGGTTTCGCTTCTAAATTCGATTTCCGACAGATTTAATTGGAGCAAAAATTTTACTTTTTTGGTGGCTGGTATATTATTCTATCAGTTTTTGCACTATTGGAAAATAATCCTATGTTGATTAGATACTAGATATGGAAATTAAGTTGGGCATACATATAAAATAAAAGGGTGAATAGTATTGGTTATGCATATTAAGTAAGAGATATTATGCACTCAAATTGTTGTTTTTAATCGAGAAAACTTTAGATTTGACATACAACTCAGCTCATATTTAGAAAAAAAAAAAAAAGAAAAAGAAAACTGACCACTTTGGAATTGATTTAATTAATTGACTAATTCTTTATCATTTTAAATAAAAATGATAAAACACTGATATTCATGGTAAGGATATGTCCGGCTCTCAGGCCCCCATTTTTCTTTGAGGTGAAAAAGGGTGATAAAGAAATTGACAAAAACATTAGCACATGCATCCCACTATTGACATTAAATGGGGGGAGGATTGGTGTTTGCAGTCACAGAAAGGAGTTGG